GGCGGTCGAAAAGGATAGTTCTGGCCACACCACAAGTGTGCAGGCAAGGTGGACGGAACAAGTGAGGGGGGTATAGCTCAGTGGTAGAGCATTTGACTGCAGATCAAGAGGTCCCTAGTTCAAATCTGGGTGCCCCCTTCCAGCCAACAGATAGCAAAATGTCTGAAGAGGTTGACTCTTTAAGTCAGCGAGCGGCAAGCGACGAATGGTTGACTCCATACTGCTGGCATTTTGTCCAGCTTTCAGAACCCAAAAGCTAGGAACCTGCGCAAAACTGTGTGCTAACGGTTCCTGCCAGAAGCTCTGCAAGAGGGGGAGGAGCCGAGGGAGGAGATTAGGTGCATGTGGCCGGCCAGCTTGCTTGACAGACAATCAATGGCCTGAGGAGCTCCTACGTGTAGCCCCTGCATCCCGCTGCCAGCAATACCACCTGAACAGGCAGTAATAAACATAACTGTTCAAAAAGAAAAGTCAGACGGAGCTGCAAGTAAACACTGTAAGAATGGGTAAACAAAGCCTTACAGTCACTTTTCCATGGTTAGTTTTCAGCACACCCTCACCGATTATACGAGAGGCTGCCTTCGTCGTCGGGGGGTATAGCTCAGTGGTAGAGCATTTGACTGCAGATCAAGAGGTCCCCGGTTCAAATCCGGGTGCCCCCTTTCTCAGCTTTATGTTAAATCGATATACTTGTGTTGAGGGGGGAATTCAAGAACAAGCCCACACCGTACCTGCCATTCGTGCCCTTTCCTGCACTAAAATATGGCAATGAGCCCCTATGGTTGAATTCCTTCTGCTACATGAAATTTGGGACAAGCTCGTTGATATCATTTGGCCGCCCACCATTGGCTGAAGAAGGTTATGCCCCAAATCGGGGAAACCTTCTGTGAAAGTTCTTACTGAAGCATTTGCTGAGGCTCATGAGCTGCTCTTTGTCAATCTCCAGCCGATTCCAATGCAGATTGATGGAGCCCGGGGGTCGCTCATTTACGCCAGTGGGTTGGCAATGATGGATGGGGCGATTGGGGTCCACGCTGACAGCGTTTCGTCCAAGTTTCAGAACCCTCAATCTATTAATTGACACAGAAAAGAAAGATGTACCCTGATTCTGATAAAGTGGCACCACCACTTTAGACAGAATATAGATGTTATGGTAGAGCACCTTGTTGCCTCGGTGACAAATGAAGCAAGATGAAAAGATGGAGCCTGGAATCTGCCCTGTTAACCGACCAGGAAAAGTCTTTAAAGGAGACATATCGGATAGGAGAAAACCTCCTTAGTCGTGTAGTCAGCAATGAATAATATACGGTACCGGTCTTACTTTTGGCTAAAAATCATCATTATCTTTGAAAAATGTCCCCGTTATTGGAGCACCCCTTACATCTGCTATGTTCCCTGTCTGTGGTTGAAATGAGGGGTGGGCGTGTTGTAGCGGTTCCTGCCAGGAACACAGCAGGAGGGGGATAGCCCGTCTCAGCCCTGCATTTGCAAAAAAGGAAAGACAGGTTTCAGTTCCCTATCAGGTCCGCCTAGCTGCTGCTTGGTTCCCATCCTACAGTGCAGTGGGCTGAGTGCTGTCGGCTCCCCTGCACAGCCTGGGAAAGGAGGCAGCAAGAAGTGGGCAAGATGGGTAAGACTAGCAGGGATTTTGGAGAAGTTTTCACTAAATCAAGCCAAAAGACTACTTTTCGAAGAACATTCCGTCTATAGTTAAACAGTTATCACGCACGGGCACATTCTTGGTTTTCAGGCAATCTGTCTCCTATAAATTTCTGTTTGCAAATGCCATGAGGGACTGTTGGTTAGAAAAAAGAGGGTGGTCGAAAAGGATAGTTCTGGCCACACCACAAGTGTGCAGGCAAGGTGGACGGAACAAGTGAGGGGGTATAGCTCAGTGGTAGAGCATTTGACTGCAGATCAAGAGGTCCCTAGTTCAAATCTGGGTGCCCC